ACCACCCAGAATACGTTGAGGAGAGTGGCCGTTGCTAATAAGCTGTGCTCCGCCATAAGAAAATCTTCCCGAATGACACCAAATATATTCAGAGCCCTGTTTATTTCTGACCTGATCCCAGTGTCCGAGTACGACATACCAGCTGTCTTTTCACTCTTTAACACTGGAATGTGCCCTGATTGAAAAGGTTCAGAGACATGACTCGCAGTTTGTCTCTGGACCTCAAAACCTCTCCTAACCCCTTCGGCTCCAATACATAACCGTTTTCTCACTTGACTATCGTTGCCACCGAGGGAACCTCATCTTTATCAGGCTAATACTAAAAGGGGAATTCGGAAACGAACTAACACAGTTTTCCTGCTCAATAAAAGAGACGAGGTTCGAGACGTGGTCACCACTTGCAACTTTTTAAAACGAGGTGGCTCCATTTTCACTTTCTGTCGCCCTACCCACCCCCGTGATAAACTACCAGAACCGTCTGCAGGAGAATTTATCAGTGCTCAGTTTGGGGTAGGTTTCAAATGGCTCTTAGACTCCCACTTGTGTAAGATAACAGGATTGCACGGTTCTATTGCGACGGCCCTATCCCATTAGGACTGCTGGTCGCAATGACACACGCTCGTGTTCTGAACCGGAGGTGATGGGTCTGACATGGGAGCTCCCTCTGCCCTCTACAACTCAGTGAGCACAATTTGTAGCTTGAACCATTGCAACAGGTTAATGAACCAACAACACATTCCATCGAATCTGCCTTCGCTTGTTTTAAATAATAAAAGGATGACTTTACAAGTTGACCGGTTAATAGTGCGTAGTTTTTGTGCGGGTGGGTGCGCCACGGTTATGCTGTCTGCGATTGGATTTGGAAACTTGAAGACGGGAATTCGACTCACCTGTCAACGCCTGGGGAATACCCAAGCCACTACATTCACAGTGTGCTTGCTTCCAGTCGTTTTATGATCTGGGAACTTACCTTTATTCAGTTTACAGGAGGCGTTCATTCATTGTTTAGGAAAGGATCATCCCCACTTTCTTTTCAAGGGTTTAATGCACCATATGTTGCAGTACAGGTCAGCTCTCCCATGTTGCTATACATTGACCACCCTCCGAGTCGTTCGGACAACTATCACCGAAAAGAGTTCCTTAGCTTCGTTCTTTTGACTGATCTGATAGTTCAGCTAGCTTAAATATAAACATAAAACAGTATGTATCACAAACATTATCTGTGACGTGCTTGATTTCTTTGATGAACCTGACCCATGTTTATTCATTTACTGACAAGCAGTGGCGTAGTAACTACTTTTGCCGCCCGGCGCCCTCCACTGGTAGTTGTAAATCCGAAAGCCTTCAAAATTGGCTTAGGATAAAGCACACATTAGTTTTCGATAAAACGGGTGATCATTTTGGACACGGAGGTAAATGTGGTGAAATGATCACAAAGGGCAAGTAAGGGAATCTTTGGGGCAAAACTTCTGCCAAGTGCATGGGTGATTTTGGTCATACACAGTAAAATTAAAGTATTCAGCCCTCTGCTTATCTGAAAATTTTGTCCTTTATACTTGGTATGGAACAACTAAAGATCCCCAAAATGCCGCCCCCTGTCACATGCCGGCGGGGGCGGACCGCCCCCCCCCACCCCTGCTGCCAATCTAACTGGTGGACAAGGTTGATTTTGATTTTGGGTAGTGAACGTCGCAAGGAGGCGATTTTGTCTGTTCCGCCATATCCAGAACTACTACACAGAGGTTTGGAACATTACGATGTTTTCAAAGTATTAGCACCATGATAATGCTTGACTGGGATTTTCGGATCTCACACAATGATTCAATAAAGCATAGCGTTTCTCTCAGGATGGTTAAATTTTGGAAAATTAGGACGTCCCACTGTATTAAACGAATGCATCAGCACAACATTTCAACCTTCCGCTGCTACTACCGATGCTTTTGCGGTTGCTGCTAACGTTGTCGAACCGGATTACTACCGCATAAACCCATTGAGCATTTGCGCGTTTTTAAACGCGTTCCATTGATCTATGTGGATCCAAGCCAGAAATGATGGTGGGCATGTTGCTAACGCAGACCGATTGTCATTAGGTGGTCAAAGCGAACGGCTAAAAGATGAGAGTCAAAGCTTTTTCCAACATTCGGTGGGTGGAAACGAGCCATGTTTTGCACGAAGGATGAGTCACTGAAAAATCGAAAACAGAACTGGTTATTCATTTCAACTGTTTGCAAACAACTGGAAGTAGTATCTTAGATATGAGAGAAGGTAATGCGTGAAAGCATTCTCCCATACGGAAGTGATCATGAATGTCCCCAAGTTAAGACAAATATGGGCAAATATTCTGAAAGTTTGCAGAGAGTGAGATTCTAACGCCATTTCAATAAAACCACGATAGCCTCCTACAACTGAGTGTTGCACTTCCGTTTAACTGTACTAAACAAACCACATGTATTTTGGCACCTAGAGGAGCGGACCATATGTTGACAGATGAAGTTACCGACCAGTTTGGAACCGTTCGCTAACACGCTGCTTGGGGTATGCTTTGAAATTGCTGTAGACAGCTTCCCTAGTTTGCCCGACCTACTTTCTACAAAAAGGACGCTGGAAGAAGTAGATACTCGATGTGGGAACCTGAGACCACGCTTATCAGATACATATATGAGCATCTTCCTAATTTGGGCTAATAAAAACATGTGGTATAATAGACTTTGTTTATAACCTGGAAATGAGGTTTGAATTGCTTACCAGTTTACCGGCATTAACATGGTAGTCTAATAAATACCGTTTATTCGGACATCGGTCAAATAACTTCCATTGAGTTTTTGTTTGCCTATCGTGCAATAAATTATTCTGGGTGTCGGTATTGAAGTATTATAGATAGACGGGTTGCAGTTTGCTATTGATCACTTCTTTGGATCAAACCTGATGACCTGCGCAAGTGGTGCGGTCTAATGCACATACGTTCTTGATAAAACAGTAGCCTTGTCCTATTCAAGTGAATTCATAATTCACAGATCAAGTGGGTGTGCAGTCTTGATTTGTTGTCCTTGGTACATCCAGTAAAGCAGAACCTATTGCTTACTTCTTCTTCCATTGTGGATTTAGTCACAGTGGGACACCTGCTCCAGATAGCGAGTGGGTGAGCTTCTTTTTAGAGGACAATAACTACATAGAACGTGCCGTCGAGGTAACTAGTGTGCGCATGCACACTTAGTATAAGACGATGTAGTTCAGCTTTTCCAAGTGGCCCATGAAAATATCAGCAAGGACAGACCCATGGCTGCTGCATCGATCAGTACCTTTCCACCGAGTTAGAATTGAATGTCTCTTGCTCACACGCACGATGGCCACTTAGGTCCACGTGTTGGAAGCCACACTTTTTCAGTGTAAATATGGCCGCAGTATTAAGTTACTACTAGGACAGCACTTGTGAAGAGTTAGTACGCATCCCAAGACACCATATCTTCAGCTGGTACTTTTAAATCCTTTGTGTTGTTGAACATTCAACTGTGGCTGAGTAAGCGCCCGGTTACTTCATACCGGCATAGTTTAGACTAATTAAGTTAGCCATTGTGCTAACTTTTAACACTGTCGACCTGATAGTGTGATGGTTGGATGAATGGAAATGCCCTCCTTGTTATTATTTGGTGAATTTTACCTATGAATAAGTATAAATCCAAGTAGGCGCTGCCGTGCCGTTGTTTTCTTATCATTCAAACTATGTATCATCGGATTTTTGATTCATAGCTTCGGATTTTACTACTTACTCAATTCTCTGGTGAATTATCAAATCGCAAATGAGTCGGTTGGAATGTGCGAGAACTGCAGGATTTTCTGGACATAATTTTGTTTCTCAAAAATAATCGTTCTTGATCTGCTGTGGCGTTTGGTCCTTGCCGAGAATTCCCAACAATCTTTTATAAAAATGCTGAAATTTTTAATCACGTAAAGGCTTGGCCTTACTGTTTCTTCTAAGTAACCTAAAGAATATGGGTGGAAAATCTTGCTTGGTACATCGGGGCTCCTACAGAAAATTTATGCACGTAGTTGTATGACCATTTTTACATTATTCAGTGTACATGGCGTGACCTGATCACGAAGGCCGTTGCCGAGGTGCAAGAGAAAGACCCGGTGCATGCAGAGAAGAGGCGGTAATTGCGGAAGCGACAGGCGCCGATGGTGTTTACTCCATCGACATCAAGCGCATGGTGTTGTATCCTCTCAAATATATATATATATATATATATATATATATAAGAGACGTTGGCTACTCAGTTTGACTCAGCTGTGGTAATACGGCTTTATGTTTGAGGTCTGAAGAGAATTTCTAGACGTTTTAACTTATGATTATTATTCAATTGACTAAACACGCTGTTTCATACGTTTGTCAGCCTACCTGCGGTTCACCAGCAGGAGGCTGCCTCCCAATTTTACCATCACGCGTGGTCACCTTCAACACCATCTAATGATTCCGGTCCTGCACGACAGCGTTGAGATCTGCGTTGTAATAGCCGACGTAAGATAACTCCATTTGACCAACAATCCGTATCTTCCTGACCCCAGTAAAAGTACTCTTTTAATTAGAACCATCATACCAAGTTTCCCTTGTGAATGTGGTACCTTCGGGATACTTAACTACTCAGAAGTACGGAAATTCCTGATTATTATATAATAAACAATGCCATCTTAGGTGACCGTAAACTTCATGCATTTTTGATCTTTCACCCAAGTAAAACTATGGACAGCATGAAATAGTTGACTCGTAGCACCTCCTCCACAGAATGATTTGTTTCGCATCATATCTAGTATTTTAAATATACGAACTGCTAAACTCTCTAACCACATCTCGTCCGAAACTTTTCAGTTGCACGTTCTGTTTCGTTGATGTAAATCTGACATTATTTAGTAGTTAAAAAGCGACCAGGCTTGTTGGTTGTGCCAGCTTCTCCTTTCGAGCAAATGTTAAGCATTTCAGATTGTTGCCGTTTTCTTTTGTACAGACTTTGAAAACCTTTTGAATGAACTATTTCGTCTGTCAGGGGAACGTCGAGTTATGCTCGATCATACCATATTGACCCAGCCGGATAATGTATTTTCCGACAACTTGTCAAGACGGAAGAATGATATGCAAACCCGGAATGTGCTCGTTTCAGACTTGACGCAGATGCCGGACGAAGAAAACCCGTCGAAGAACCGCATTTGGTTAGCAGCCCACGTTGCTATTATCGAAGTGATGTTACGAGCTCACATAGCTCAAATCGTGACCCATAACAAGCTGGTCAACGCGCTTAGGTGAGTTTGCAGAGTAACTGTAGATAATGTCCAGCTGACTGCAAGTGCTATGTTGTTAGATAAATTACACATTTGACTAGCGCCGAGTTATCTCCCGGTATGCAAATACCAAGTTCTGACAGCGTAAGAACGTCTTAATAGGCAAAAGGAAATTGCTGCTCCTGGCCGATTCTCAAGTACATTCTTATACACTTCACCGAAACACCAGACTCACATAATATTCCATATTTCCCCCCAATCTCCTGATGTGAGATGTAATTGCATCACACTGTATAGGGACAACGGGCAATTCAAACCCTCATTATCATGCATTGAGATTATCTGACTCGTCAGTGTATAGGAATTACCGCCTTTCTGGTACTTGTGCGCTTCAACAACAGCGCGGATGTCCTTGGCTACAGCAAGCTTTGTACTAATCTCAACATTTGAATATCACTTATTAGACTGAGGCATTGCAGTCGGCGACATAAACTTCCTGCTTTGCTTAATGTTTCGAAGGATAATAGCAACGATCTACCCAAAGTACACACGAAGGCTTGGAGAAGCGCGGATGAGAGAGAGAGTTAACTTAGGGACGACACACATGCGTTCGCCAAACAACATCCCTCTAGTACCAGCTAAGTTTTACTGGTTACTGCCGTTCAAGCAAATTTTCGTAGGCAGTGTTCAGGGAAGTGGTGGGTTTAAACCTAGCAACCGTTCCCCAGGCAAAAAGCATCAAATTTCTAATTCACAACACTGTGAGGTGGCGGATATGATTCACCACAGAATACAATCACTCAAATTGCATATCCCGCTGAGATTATCTAAAACATGGACGTTATTCGACACTTCTAAATCTGACGACCTGACCGAATATAATAACGAATGGAACGTCAAGTTCACAAACTGAAGTAAAATATTTGCGAAGAAATCATGGTTGGCGGCATCCGGTTTCGGATTTGCCTGTCACTGCAGCCTCCTTAAGATAGCCACAGGACGCCTGCGCATACAGAGAGACCTGACTTGCTTACGCTGCACCACCCACAGCTCCATCCACACACCCCGTATCCAGTGTAAACCCGAAGGAATAAGACCGGGAGGCATGTGGATGGGAGCCAGGTTTCATCAACCGAACCGGCCCACACTCTTTCACAGCGAAATACAAGCATGCTGTATTTGGGGAATCAAGCACACCCAAGGTGTTGGTTGGACCTTAGTTCGCTCCACATTGATTGCATGGAACCACTTTTCGAGCTTAGCACTGCCATAATGACCGTGCACCCCGTCCCCGCTAGCAACGACCAACTATCTCCTAGATCCAGTATGGATGAGGTGGTGGGTACCAGACAGCTAGGCAGCTTGTCAACATGCACATCAAGCGCAGCCACAGCGGGGCTATCCAGCAACAGCCATTCAGTTGAAATAACATTAACAAATAAAATATTTCTCCCAAAGCATACGGTTATGCAGATATTACTCTACGCTAAATTAGCGTATGAACTAAGTTGTTTGCAACAAATCCGCGGTAAGTACAAAATGATAACAAGTTATTCAAAATATGCCTCTAATGCGATAACGTTATCGTAGATATCCACAATTAGCGTAAGCAACGTGTACAAGTTAATAGAAGAGTAACCAGTTTTACAAAACTGAGCAAATAAAGTGGAATGACATTTATCCAGCATGAAAAGACCAAGTCTAAGTGTAATTTGGTTTAGACCAAATGTCGTGAAGACGCATCATAAATGCAACATCAGCCACCAGGATGGGGCACACATGGTTGGCAGCATCCGGTTTCGGGTTTGCCTCTAAGCCTAGGCAGAACAAACCAAATAAATTGGGATGAAATTTATTCAGCGTGAAGACACCGTTTAAGTGTAATTTGGTTCAGCCAAACCGGGATGGGGAAGCATCATGAATACAACATTATCCTCAGTATGGGGCACGCAAAGAAATCATACCTACCTACCAATCTACACGCATTACCTTGGCGATATCCGCTTTGGCAGTTAACTGTCACCGTGGCCTCCATAGGACAGCCCCAGGTCGCACTAGCCTACAAAAGGACCATGTGTGGCTTGCGCTGAACCACCCACACCTCCCATATCCGATGTAAACCCGTAGGAAGAAGACCGGGAGGCAGGTGGATGGCAGCCATGTTTCACCAACAGAGCCGGCCCACACTACTCCAGTATGAGCAGCAACACTTCTGGTGTAATCATATGTACTATATGAACACAAGGTGGTGGCTGAGCCCGTTACACACTGGATGCATGGAACCACATTTTGAACCTGATATAGTCACGACGATCACGCGAAACGTCTAGCAAAGCAACCGAGCAACTGTCTGCGGGAGTCAGTATAATCGAGGTAGCTGCTTTCTGAAAGGTAGGCACCTCGAGAAAATTCACATTGAGTGTAGCCTTACGGCAGATGTCGATAAATAAACGCATACCATGAAGGAAAGTATGCATGCAAACTGGACATAAAATGTTATGTCTTTATGACGAATAGATGAAATAATAGCGCATGATAAAGCGTATCAAGTCTGATCCACTTTAAGTTTGATATTGGGTAAATGCAATTGTTTCTTAGGTGCTATCGACCTAATAATGCCGAAAACTAACGAAAGGAACAGCGCGAAATAAACCAGGGATATGTGGACAATTAGCAGCATTGAGTAACTAAAAATTAATGGGTTAAGAAGGATCTAGTATACTGCGGAATAAGCGAAAATGATAGTCTCTCTAGCTTAATAAATGCAACATCCAGTTCAGCATGTGTATGCTACTGTTAATTTTGCAACATTTGGTACATTTATCGATCAATAACGTTTGTATTACCATGATCTTGCATGTGCATGCGTAGTTCACATTGTCCCGAGTGTACTAGTTATATAATACAAGGGTCGTGGTGGCGCCAATATGTGACAGAGCCAATTGACTCCAATGTTTTGTTACTATTTATGACAGGGATTTTCTCAATGGAATAAGACAGTCCAACGAAAGTATTCCGTTCATAGTACACAAGGCAAAATTAAACTGTTCTCAAAAACGATGTTACCTTAAGCCAAATGTTGTTTGCATCAATACCTTCCGTGGCAAATTTGTCTGGTCTTGTAATGAAGATTGGCAACCTTCACTCCGACATTGCTTTAGATCAGACAACAGCACGTAGTCGCGAACGTTCTCTCAAGTGGCGCATGCGTTAGGGTGAAAAAGACTAATGACTATCAGACTAAAAACGCACGCAGTATGTAGAAAAAGGAAGAGAAATTGGCGTCTGACGAGCGTTTGAAGAATAGAATTATTTTTTCCGATGGTCAAGTATTAGCCAGTTCTGTAACAAAAGGAATCTCGGGACTAATTATCGCCGTTCTATAGTCCGGGCACATCATCGACGGTAACGGCTAGCTCTCTCCTGAAATCGAGTTGTTGGCGCGAAACGGTTAAGCCCTGTGTCGGCATTTTAAGTGCAGAAAGCCATATCGCACTTATCACATGGAGCCATGCGACAAGCGTGTGGAAGCGTGTTCCGCCACTGGTTACTGGCCCAATTCTGGGTACGTGCCACGTCAGATTAACATGTCCCAAGCTCTAGACCCACAACAAATATAGAAAAACTACATCTTAGAGGGTCCATATAGCATTCGTTTTCAAAACTAAGGAATAGTGCGGTAAGTAGTAAAACAGAACTATTGTGAATTGAAAGACCTCGGTAGCCCAGCCACCGGTAGGGTCGACATAGCTCAAGTCTGTGTAGCTGAACGCACCTGTAGCTGAATTGTCACTAGTGTCTGACTATTCACACGACCAGGGTGCATAAAGTAGTTTCTGGACTTGATTAGCGTGAAGTGCCTACATACTGGCCTGTCTTTTGAACACACCAGAAACGGGAGCGATATAAGTTGATATGTGAACACGTTGAAAACAATATTAAGGATTTCAGACATTCGTATCTCTTGTCCAAAAGTGCCTGCTAGGTATTATTGGTGTCAGGGATCAAAAACCATTACGCAACAACCGCACGCGTAGACGAGTTCCTGGGTGCGTAGATAAAGTCAGTTTGTCTGCACAACAAAAAAACATGTTACTGTTCTTGTCTCGGGCAAGTGATGCTTATGCTTGTCCAACATTTACCGTGATGCTCATCCAGTTATCCAGTCAACTGAGGACTTCACCTGATACCGTTAAACGGAATTTCAGGCTATTAGCACAGGTGTGCTCGCTCGATGTAACCAAGTTTTCAGTGTACTAAACAACCCGTGCGGAGATTGTGTGTGCGGAGTTATCCGTGGTGTAGGGCTGAGTAGACTTAGGGAAGAAAAATCACTAGGAAACTATCCCACTGATGTAAACTTGTCTCCACACGATATCCAGCTTTTGTCCGTTTACTGTGCAGTTAAGCTGTGAACACCAAGTTGCTGAATACTGACTAGGTATTTGAGGTTCATGCTAAAGACCTTCTTAACCCGTCTTCTCTTTGGTGCCTCGTGGGACCACCGCGAACATATAAGTGAGAGGCGTCTGTATAACATACCGAAGTGCCATTGGTGCTACTGCTACCGATTTTGACGATAATGGGAATGATGTTGGTAAGAACATACACGGTCCACAAATCAGGCTAATATGCCGCAGGCAGAGTGCAAATGCGTGATATTAGTAACTTCCCATACATCAAATGCGTCTCACATCATCAGCCACTGTCGACAGATAACTAATACAGTACACCCTATGATTTGACCAGCAAACATCATAACTGGCTTTCCATCGAGTTAAAACCACTCGACCTACCTTAGGTCTGCACCCAGAAATGCCAGAACTTTTCCCTTCAGTGCACGCTTGGGTTACAAACATTCCTTTGTTGCACCTTGTTTATAATTCATAACCGCTTTTGATTACGGAATCGTATGGTGCATATACATCACTTGGTGATCAAATGTAAATAAAGCTTGTTGGAACTGGATCAGTAGCGGCATAATTTGCCAACATGAGAGCGATTCTGATATGTGAAGTGAGCTTAGCAGTGTAGGCGATTTCGAAGAATATCCGTTGTTTGAGCAGAGCGAAGGGTCCTTGTGAGACCAAGAGGTATCAGTCAATGTGAATTCCTCTTATGTGGTGCTTTCGACTAGCAATTAAGCAACCCCACTTTGGCACTGAAAATGTTTATGCGAAGTTTGCAGTCTATTCATTCGCAAACCGTTTTGTGTAAATGGAGAAATTAGAATCGGCCCTATTTTCAGTCGTTCGTGCAACCGGTATGAATTAAACGCACTGAGTGCCTGTTCAGTTACAACAGTTGGATTATCCCATGAGAGAACTTGTGAATGATAAAGCTAGCATTTTTCAATCAAGAGTATTTTGCGCTATCAGAACGCATGTGTGTGATGACAACAACAAAGCCATAATGTGCAACTATTCATACACTTTTTAAACTTCTTTCAGCACCGTTATTGGTTGCAGAGCAGATTCCACGTCGTTGGAAGTTCTATCTGGGGCAGACGGTGCTTTGTTTTGGCTGGTCACCGTTGCAGCTAGAACAGCAACTCTCCTTGGAATAAAGGTAGGTACCTCTGTTACTCAGTAGGCCCTTAGTTTTGCAGAAAATAAGACTATTTTTGAGAAAACAGGCCATTCGGTTCTGCGATTCGTTGTGAGCCCAAATACGGTTGGCGGTGAGGGGACTTTGAGAAATTTTCTCGTAATTGGACTTTTCCGATCGTTCTATTCAAAAGTTTTCCTAGCCAGCGGGTACCTTAAGTGACTTAAAAGCTCATACTTACGAACCATTATGAAACTTAGATTAAGGAGAAACGGTGTTAATACGCACTTTAACATATCAGTTTAGGCCTACAGTTTGAAGGAGCTTCTAACATGTGGCCCTTAGCAGAAACGTGTGTTTCATATACCAAAATACGGCAGAGATTGGTAACTCAAACAAAGCTACGGTCTAACGACTGGATAGCGGTTGTCCAATGTTTATGCTGCAAACTTTTGGGTACCATACTATACCCTATAAAGTGTCAAAGATCCTAGAAAACCAAACAATGTTAAGGTACTCAGTTTTTTCCAGGCTTCTACTATACTATCAAATATCCTTCAGTCAGCGAAGTCACTATTGTATACGCTGAAGGCAACCGCTTGTTTTCGACATAAAATGGTTGCAAGTTGAAAGACTTAGTTGCAACCTAGTTTACGCTAAAAACCATGCTCCTTCACCTTAGCAAGTTGATGCGTTTCGCATCGTGACTTCATGTCTGTCTGTTGGTAACCTATGGACCAGTGGCCTCATCCGTATGCCAAGCTAACCGATTCATTACTGAAAATTCGTTGTAACAGGGAAACTTTAAGTTAGCAGTAACCTATGCTGTTAAGCAGGATGCAGTATGTATGAAGTAGATTAGCGACTAATCGTTCCAGAGCAGAATGGATGACAGCCCAAATGGTATGATTGGGACTGGACCACCGAGAAGCCAGCACGAGATTCTGTACCAAGACGTGCGTTTAATGTGAATCAGTGAAGGCTTACCTGAGCACGGGTAAGACGTATCGAACTAAAGAGAGGCGAGAACCTATTTTTGATTAGCTTATGTACTGTGTTCATAACCAGTCTGTATACAGTTACTTCAACAATACGATAATCGGATGCGTGTGTTGCACGGGCACGTTTGCTTTAACCTGTGCTGATGATTCACAGGTTATGTCGGTAATATTAGCGACAGCGAAACCCTTTATGCATTAACAAATTGTGTGACCCGCCTGCAGTTAAGCTATGATGCATTTAAGAGATGATTGGCCTCATTTAGTGTCATGTCTTACTTACTCACCATGCGTGAACATGTTTAGTAACTCCGTATGGGTAGTGCTGTGACGACCCCTAGTTTTCATGATGAGGTTGCCAAACTATTAAGTTTGGCAGCCAAATTCAATGTCTGTAACCGTACCCAAGTCATTAGAGTCCCCCCCAGGCTGACGCAGATGAATAAACAAAGGAGAACATGTAAAATAGATCTTTGGAGCAGCAACAAACATGGGATTTTCATTGGATAATCAGTGGCTTCAAATATTGACGCTAATCACGTTCATCTGATCATTGGTGCACAGCTGTTTTGAATACGTACGGAAAGCACGCGACTTGGAGCGAAAGGCCATCTGAAGTGGTCCTGCTCTCGTCCTTATTGGTCGATTGACCCAGCTGTCTATCTGTTCGTGCGGGGAGAGTAGCGGCTCATCGGCCATGCTTTGGGTCCGTATCGGCAACCGGCGCCTCGGCTGCTCGCCTGCAGATTGCCTTCCTAACATCTGCATTCTGTCATAAACGACGAAATGAATAAATAGGTATAGTTCCTAAAAAGTGGAATGCGTTTTTCATTTAGAAACGACCAATTCTGCAGAAAAACCGTGTTGTTATTTTCAAATGCCTTACTCTGTCACACGGCTGATTATAGTGGTCTTTGGATACAATTTCATCTCAATTTTAAATGAATTCTGACTCGACCAAATTTGCCTCTCTCGAGTCCCTGCCTATTGACTCGCGCTGCTACGCAGTGCTTATCGAATGCAAATGCAGGTTCATTCGCAGCGATATTCAACAGATGGCCACCAATCGGAGGGGAAGAAAACGGGTAGTAAAATCCCAACGTATATGTAATATATGATAAGAAGAATAGTATGTATGCTCAGGTTCACCAGATATATCCCTTTTCGGTATTACCATTATTTTACAACTGTTTCGTATGATATCTACAAAATAGTCTAAATGTTATGAACACATTGGACTCGGAATGTTATCAGGGATATCCTCCTACCCAAAATTACAAATGGAAAAGGAAAACTTCGTGGCGTCCTGACAGAACTTCATGTACGGATGGAACCAAGTTTTCTTTTCTTTGAGATGTGGGCTGCAAACCAATCGAATGGTAGTAAAAGGAACATTAAACGTTAAACTCGAAAGTATAGAACATAACGCATTAGTTAGGCAAAAAGTTTTTATATATTGTACATTCTAACAGGCAGTAGCAAAAGACGGATGTACTCACTACAATTCAGCAGCTGTACGTGAGAGCTAGGTCCACTATAATTAGAGGAAGGTTGGCTGTGTATGAGGCGGACATGGTTGGCGTCATCCAAAGAAGCAGGTGCTTTTGTTTCACTTTGCGCCAGGCCTATGCAAGTAAGAAGAACAATATGTAAAGAATATGGGAAATACGAGTGAATATGTAGTAAGCAGAACCGGCTCGCTTCTCCTTGCCACCTGATATGTTTACATGAGGGCCACAAGAGGCGTGAACGATTAAAAAGTAACGCATGAAAATGTTTGATGAAGATGCATGGATTCAGGGCACGTTTTCTCCCCAGCTCGCACGTTTTGGTAGAGCTGTAACGTAGGCGTGGTTGAGTAAGCAGAACATGGAATATGGAGACAAAAATGAATAGATCAATCTCAGTTTATAATCCCTTTAAAAATCAGTTACTAATGCGCCTGTGGGGTATGTTTACCCGAGTAACGAAGTAAAGAGGGTCTAGTGAAGAAGGGTGAAAGAGATTCGGTCAACTTTTAATCTTCGTTTTTACTATACTTCTTCAGGCGGGATGGCCAAGTAGACAAAGTACAGCGAATATTTTGCAATTATTTATATGCAGCACACTCAAATCTCGGTCCACTTTCATATAGTATTTTTGCATTACAGTTTAATTGCAGACATTTGCGCACGCAGTAGTTTACCGTCAAGCAGTTAGAGACTACCTTTTGTACGTTGGTTGCGATTCGCAGGCCTTATTTCAACAGACAGGCGGTTCCAGATTTCAATATATCTGTTTGGGTAGCACTTTCTTCGGACATTAATTCTGTTTGCGATCAAAAGAAGTGAGAACATAGAGTTCCCAATTGCGAAGCTACCTTCTTGTTTGAATTGAATGGTAATATTTGGTGCAAATAGACCTTTATGAACCAAATCAAATGGGAATATTAAGCCTAATTTCATGCGCCTCCAGCACATTGGCTGCAGTAGTGGAATATTACAACGATCGGAGTAGTTTAGTTTGGACGATTGGTTACAAAAATCTTAGTGCACGAACACAGCGCTTACACTAGGCACATGTAATTGCTTTTTCTGCCACTTATAATAATAAACTAGCAGTGCCTTAGCATCCAGCGACTGCAGAATAAGAGTAAAAATTTGCTGGCACATTTTATTGACCTGTCCCAAAATCGTTTAAAATTTTGAGCATATATTACCAATCAAGATTCATGTTAAACAAGCAGCAATATTTAAGCATTATAACATCAGTTGTTATTGAAGACGTACTGCCAACGCTATAACAGAACGAGCAGAGCTATGAGTCAAACGATTGGGCAAGGTGCGTTTCGATAGGGTCGCGGTCATGAAATATTTTTATTCATCTTATGATTGTGTAGCGGGAGGAAATGGTGGCTGTCGGTAGGAGCAACGTCCGGGATATATGCTGGATGCATAAGCGCTTCGAGGTCGAGCTGCCGAATTTTAAGACACGTCACTTTTGCCACATGAGGACCTGGATTGTCACGCAGGAGAAGGATACAAAAGGTACTTGGGCGCTTTTTTTCTGTGTTCCTGGACTATCGTTTGCAGTTGTTAGCAGCAGACATCGGCAGTAATCGTGAAATTGCCGGGTAGCAGTTCCCAATAGATGACGCCGGGATGATCCCCCCAGATCGATAGCATCAAATTTGTACTGCTGCGATCCACTGACGCTTCCTACTATGGTTGACTTATGGCACCCACTTCTCATATCTAGTAAGTGCATGGTTGGGCCCTCCATGACTGCGTCCTCGGGTGAGCAGTAAAAGTGCAATAGCATAACGGTCAAAAGCTACTCATCAATCGCTGCGTGTAGGAATAAAAGCTGTTCATGCTTTGGGACCATGCCGGATTGGGGCAGATGGCATCGGAGGTCAAAGTGGGAGGAAACTTCACTACATGTGTTCATAGTCCTGACATTTTTGGTACAGTGATTATGTAAGTAGGTGGACGGAACATGCAGAGCTACGCTGTCCGCTTCGATAGTTGCCTGACGGTTTACCAAAGCGGTTTGCACCTCAGGTGCAGAGAGATGAGGCCATTTTCGTGGACTAACATTGACTGCGAAAGAGTCTAGATTTGAAAGCAAATGTATCCAAGCAGTGCCACTACGTCAGATTGGTCACCGGAGGTAAATTGGACTACTAACAGCGTCCTACGGGGAAACTCCACTTCAACTCAGTCTGCTTCATAGGCATAGCGACAAACTCCGGGAGTCACCGCAGGTAATCCCAGATCTAATTACAGCAGGTGAAAGCCGCATGTTTTCCGCCAAAAATCTGCTCCTAGTTGCCAGGGCACTGCGTCTGAACTCATTATTGCCCAGATCACACCGCGACGTGGGGTCAACTGCGTCTCCGACGTGCCCATGGGTGAGGCGGAGAGACTGATAGCAGTGCATCAGCATTGTTTTGCACTTACTCAGTCAGCGAAAATTATAACCCTGAACTTGGTTGTCTGATGTACAGGATTTTCAAAACGGCCTCAAGGAAGTGCAGTTCCC